CTCAGTCTTACGTGTAGGCTGGGAGCAGACCGTCTGCATTTCCGAAGGTCTGTTAGATTCAGTGGGAAAATGTTTATGTAGCGCATCTCTACGTGAACCCAAAACTCACACCACCAAAGTTAGCTGCTGGGTTGAAATGTGTGTTTTTACACTGCCGTCCTTACAGTTAGGCTGATTATATTATTGGTTGAATTTGAGGCAGTTTTCAAAACCCTCTCTTCTGGGAGTTTACTATATGAATAGGCATTAAAAAAATTCTCGTGGCAAAGTGCCGTAGACATGTGAAATTCTTCCCTAGGGCTCCAAATATCCAACTTCTCTTTTAGCTTTAGAGTCAGATCACCCTAGTGAAAGGCCTGGCTCTGCCACTCGCTAGTATGCACCCTTGGGGAAGTTATTTCACCTTTTGGAACCTTAGTTCCCTTCTTAGTAAGATGCTGATAAGACGGAGCTTACATGGTGGGATTGTCAGGAGTTGAAGATAAATAATGCACTAGAGTGAACAACCTAACTCCTGGCATGTAGTTAGTAAATGAGAGGTTTTTGTTTTTCTTTGTTTGTTTTGGTGATGTCATTATTCTCATGCTTGAATGAGCCCATGGCTGAATCTTGGAGGGACTGGAGAAGTGTTTAGGCAGATGCTGAATTATCAGTGTCCATGAAATCACTGTCTCTCCTAACGAGAGATGGGGGATTGGGGGAAACGAATCGTAACTCCTTTTTCCTTTCCTTTCAATGTCTTTGTATATTTTATTAAAAGTTGCTTAAAAAACACACACACACACTTTACAAAACATTCCATCACGTGTCATTGTAGGGAAGCAAAAAGGAGAAAACCACTTGATATTTTTCCTCTAACCATTTTACTGGAACTGAATGCCACTTTGTTTATTTGCTGAGGCTGCAGTAGTCTCTTCATTCTATATTGATCAGACTCCAGATTTTCGGAGACAACTTAACGTATAACATTTTAAGTAAAATCATGCATTTTAGGTGGACGGACATCTCACTTTTTAGTATATATTCCTTCTCCTAGAGGATTATTTGGTGTGTGTCTATGTGTGACTGTGCGTGTTTATTGAAAGGAAACAGTTCCGTGGTTAGAGTTTTGGGTTGTTAATTAGAGGTCTAGTTAAGCTATAAAATTACAGTGGAATAAGTGGTGACAGCCAATTAGTACAGTTCCCTCTTTATAGCTGAACTGAGCTTAACACACCAACAGAAATGTTTGGCAAATAGACTGCTAAAATGACTCTTTCCTTTGTGGGGACATTAGTTGCCTGACATTTACATATTTATAATGAGTCCTAGAAGTAGAAATGAAAATATGTGAGAAAATAGATTTCTATCATCACTTCCTTTTCTTATTGAGGGTAGCATTGTCCAGTACCTTTTTGTCATCTCTGTGCTTTCTTCTTGTCCACCCATACAGGAAGAACGTTGGTGAAAAGCACAGAAACCAGTGATGTTTGTGGCTGTGGAATTTCCATGGAGAAAAGAGAGCATCTGAACACCTGGACCATTTTTTGCACCTGGCAGACCCTCTGCACTCCCCCCAGCGTGTTCTGTGAACTTGAGTGACAACGCGTGCTTGCAGGATGCCTTTTGGAAGATTGGGGAAGAGGTGGGGAGGGGGTGGGGGGGAAGCATGGGCGAGAAGATGGAGCAAATGTTTTACAACCTGAACCTCAGAACTGTGATCCTCCAAGGAGCGCGCTACTTGAAGAAAAGAAAAAAAAAAAAAAAAGTCGAATGGCTTCTCAGGGATTTTGTTTTCCGTGCACATATAAGCCATAGTTACAGTACAGGTGGCAGTATTTAGAGCACTCAGATTTCAGTTCTGTTAAATGTGAAAGAGGGATCGACTGACGTTCATTGCTGTTCCATAACTAGTGTAAAATATGTATATGTTTATCTTTATTTTTATAATATGCAAATACATTTAAATTTATACAGTTTGAAGCTTCTAGCGTTAGTTCACACTGGGTGCAATATTCTGCATGAGAACTGTGCCAAGATGGGGCTGATTTCTTATTTTAGTATAAGACTTTTTTGTTTTTTCTTTATTCTTTAATCCTCCTCAGCTTAAAAAAAAAAAAAAAAAAAAAACTCTGTTAGCCCATGGATTAAGTGTTGGTTCATAGAGATTGCCAATAATCAGAAAGAACCTTAAATGTGCATTTAAGACCGTGTCCCTTCCCTTCTTTTCAATAAAGGTCCTGCCTATGTAAATGATCAGGCACGCTGGTGGGAAATCCTTGCTTTCCACACGTTATTCGTGCCGGGCAGAGATGGGGCACACTCAGGGGCCAAAGAGGACAAAAAGTCCATGCAAAACTTGAGTCTTTTAATGGCTTAAGATAATCAGGAGTCAGTTCTGAATCTTACAAAGTGCTCTGCCTAAAAAGTACCTTACTTAGCAGAGCACTTTGCAAACATATTACTTATTAGCAGAGCTCTTTGCAGACCTTCCACATCTGGCTGTCAGACCTTAAGGTTGTGAATTTAGACTCCAGTTATGCTCATTGGAGAGCATAATCCCACATGGGTTATTTATAAATACAGAACCTCTGATTGGACAGTCTCCTGCCAAGAACTAGTAAAACCCTCGTTTTAAAATCTTCACGAGGTAAAACTTAAAAAGCAAACCAAACAAATTGCTCTCCATTCTCCTTTTAATTGGGCCAAACAGCATATGCTACAGTAGTAACACGTTTTTCGGAGAGTGTAAAAAACTCTGTTCACATTTGCCTCCTCCGTGGGTTGATTGAAAATGTATAAAACTGACTGCTTCTCGCCAGCGTCAGACAAAAAGAGTGAGTTGCTGGTACTCACTACTCTTTTACTTCTTTCGTCAAGTATTGACTCTTGGAAGGCCACAGTCTCAACATGTTTTTTAAAAGAAATAACGAGCAACCAGCTGCCCTGCTAGAAATCACACACCGATTTTTATAGAATATTTTGTGCCCCAGGCGTTAATTTCACTGACTCCAGAACCTGCAGTTCAGAGAATGATTTATTGTGATCATAAAAATCAAACGGGATCAGACTATGTTTGCATTTTTTTAGTACTTGAATAGGACACCTGAAGTTTGAGAGTTTGTTTTCTTTTAGAACACAGTCACACGATCAATCTGGTGAATCCTTTTGTCACAGTTCTCGTGTGTGTGTGCGCGTCTGTGTGTGCGTGTGCATGTGTGTAAAACTGAATGGTAACATGTCATTGCTTTTTGGACCATTGAATAGTTGGGCAGTAAGAGTTTTTTAATTGGCATGAGACAGTTCCTCAACTGTCCAATTAACCAACATTGACCCGTCTTTAGAAAAAGACTTATTTGTATGATTTTGGGCTAACTCCCGAGGGACCATATTAAATGACGAAAATGCTCCTTTTGGTGACACACCCTGCAAAGTATTTGCTGTTATGAACATAAACGCCCACATTCATAATATCTAATATTTTTGACAAGTGATGTTTTGTGCTGTCATCTGAACCCTAGAGAAGCAGTGTCAGAAGAAACCTTGGTGTCACACGTGTCTTAGCAAAAGGGTTACCATGATAGAGGGTCATGTGACCAAAAGATGCTCCAGAGAAGCTTGCGAATTTGTTTCAGGGTGGGAGGAGGGTTGGAGATAGAAAAATCACTCTGCTCTACAGGACTCTTCAGCTGTCTATGCAAGAAATTCTGTTTTCTCTTTCAACACCTGGAAAGACACAGCAGCCCACCGAGGCGACAGGCGATTCACTAAGCACAAGAGGAATGTTTTCTAAGCAAGGTGTCCCTTGCCTCTCAAATGCCCTCCAAGTTTGTTAGGGTTTCTATTCCTGCAACTTGTGGTATCAAAACCACTTCCAGGAATTGTCAAAGCACTGCCAAAATAAATGTTTTTCCCCCTTCTAAGAAAAAAAAAAAAATAGTGCTCATATTTGACACTTGTGTATTGGACTCTCTTTTGAATGAATAAAAAGGAAAGGGTTTGGTGTAATTCCTGATGGGGTGTGTGTTGTTTTTCATGCCATGATTTGTGAATTGTAATTGTGGTTTCCCATTTCGTTGTCGTAACTGGGCAGAAAAAAAAAAAAAAAAAATCAATAAAAATACAAAGAAATGGTTAAGCAGTTGTATTCCCAGAGCTTCATTATTTCTGATTTTGTTCATTTTGTTTTTACTTTTAATTCTGTCAGTTAAGGAATGACTGTTTTATAGTTTTAGTTCTTAGTGGTACTGTTGGAGCTGTGGGAGGTGGGTGGTGGTAGCTCTCATCTGTTTCGTAATTGGTCCCCGAAAGAGTCCCTGTTTTAAAACTGCCTCTGTTTTAAGGCTGAGGATATAACTCTTGAATATCCGCTCTCTTAAATCAGTTTCTTTTTTTTTTTTTTTTCAATGATTCACTATATTCCTAAGTCACAGCTGTTAAATTTATGGTAGGTTTGGAAGTTCCCCTGATTTTTCTTTCAAAGGCTCTTAGCAGAAGTCCTACCACCACCTGCTACATATTGCCCCAGGGTGCCCTATTTGCAAACTGGAAGAGCAGGCCCCTCAGGTACCCGTCAGAGGATTTAGTCCTCCATATTGTTTAAAAGGCAAAGAGAAGGAAGGACCAAGGCCAGGGTGTTAACAGCAGTGAATCCATAACAGGTCTGCAGCAACCTCAATTCTTGCCTTGTCATAAGAAAGAATTCAACCGAGGGGCACAAGACAGCGGGAGAGACCGAGGCAAGTTTTAGGGCAGGAGGGAAAGTTTATTAAAAAGCTTTAGAACAGGAACGAAAGGAAGTACACTTGGAAGAGGGCCAAGCAGGCGGCCTGAGAGATCAGGTGCACAGTTTGACCTTTGACTTGGGGTTTTATACGTTGGCATTTTTCCGAGCCCTCCCCTGATTCTTCCCCTGGGGTGGGCTGTCCACACGTGCAGTTGCCTGCCAGCGCTTGGGAGGGGACGCATGCGCAGTGTGTCACCGGAGTTGTGCGCATGCTCACCTGAGGTTTTCTTCCCTTACTAGTTGAAGGTATAGGACCTAGAAGGTCCTATACCAGTTAAGCGCCGCCATTTTGCTTCTTAATGCGCATGCTTGAGCCCACTCACCCAGCTCCTGACCACTTATCTGAAAGCAGCTGATCACCAGTTTTAGGTGTTTTCTATGTATTGGGAGCCTGCCTTTCGCTGGCACTGGCTGTAACCAATTATTATTTTAGAAACACAGTGTAACAACCACCTGACCTTCTCACCTGATGGTTGCTGGGGGTGTTTCTTCTGCCCTGCTCATGTCTGTCTGGCTACCTACTGTAACAAGAGGAGCCCTGCCCTGAAGACAGACCAATACAGGGAAGAAGGGATTGCCTCAGACCGGGAGGGCCTCTCTGCAAGACTCCTGACAAGGCAGGTAGAGCCGTGGGGTGCGAGAATTCAAAGCCCCTTCTGCCAACAGTACAGAGGAAACCATGAGGCAGTTAGAATTTCCAAAAGAGAAGTGTCACAAGAGGTGCATCCCACGTGGGAGAGGTGTGGCTCTACGGCTGCATCCAGCAACCCCAAGCACTCACTCTATGCCACTGCCTCCCGCCTCCTGGTGAAGGTCGTGCAATTAGCACACATCAATTTGGGCTTTCCCAAAAAAAACTTTACCTTTCTATAATAATTTTCCTACAAATCACCTTAATTCTGACATTCATGGCCACAGAACTAATTATATTCTATATTTTATTTGAAACCACCCTCATCCCTACCCTAATTATCATCACTAAATGAGGCAATCAAGCAGAACGTCTCAACGCAAGCACATACTTCCTATTTTACACTCTAACCGGCTCTCTACCCCTACTCATTATACTAATCTACACCTACAATAGCACAGGCTCATTGAATATCACACTACTAACACTCACAGACCAAAAACTAACAACCACCTGATCTCACAACCTTACTTGACTAGTGTGCATAATAGCCTTTATGACAAAAATACCCCTATATGGCCTACACTTGTGACTCCCTAAGGCTCATGTCGAAGCCCACATTGCAGGATCAATAGTCCTTGCCGCAGTACTCCTAAAACTAGGTGGCTATGGCATAATACGACTCACTTCTATCCTTAATCCTTTAACAGAGTTCATAGCCTACCCATTCCTCATACTATCTCTATGGGGCATAATCACAACAAGCTCAATCTGTCTTCGACAAACAGACCTGAAATCGCTCATCGCATACTCTTCCGTAAGCCATATAGCCCTAGTAATCGTAGCCTCCCTCATCCAAACCCTCTGAAGCTTCTCCGGTGCAACTATCCTTATAGTTGCCCACGGACTCACCTCCTCCATATATTTCTGCCTAGCTAACTCAAACTATGAACGCACCCACAGCCGCATCATACTACTATCCCGAGGACTTCAAGTCCTACTCCCATTAATAACCTTTTGATGGCTCAGAGCAAACCTTACTAATCTTGCCATACCCCCTACTATTAACCTACTCGGTGAGCTCTTTGTAGTCGCAGCTTCATTTTCTTGGTCTCATATTACTATCATTCTAACAGGACTCAATATACTAATTACAGCCCTCTACTCTCTCCACATGTTCGTCACAATGCAACGAGGGACACTCACACACCATATAATCAACATAAAACCCCCCTTCACATGAGAAAACACATTAATATTTATACATCTTGCCCCAGCCATTCTTCTATCCCTCAATCCTAGTGCCATCCTAGGGCTTACTCCCTGTAAATATAGTTTAATCAAAACATTAGATTGTGAGTCTAACTATAGAAGCCTACCACTTATTTACCGAGAAAACCTGCAAGGACTGCTAACCCATGCTCCCGTACTTAAAATTACGGCTTTCTCAACTTTTAAAGGATAACAGCTATCCATTGGCCTTAGGAACCAAAAACATTGGTGCAACTCCAAATAAAAGTAATAATCATGTGCACCTCTATTATGATAACAACCCTCGCCTCCCTAACTCTCCCAATTTTTGCCACCCTCATTAGCCCTAACAAAAAACACTCATATCCAAACTATGTAAAGACAACTATACTATATGCCTTTATTACTAGTCTTCTTCCAACAACCCTATATATTTTCTTAAACCAAGAAACAACCATCTGAAGCTGACATTGAATAACAACCCAAACATTAGATCTAACACTAAGCTTTAAACTAGACTACTTTTCCATAATATTTATTCCAATCGCACTATTCATCACCTGATCCATTATAGAATTCTCACTATGATACATAAACTCAGACCCAAACATCAATCAATTCTTCAAATATCTCCTCATTTTTCTAGCTGCCATACTAATTCTAGTTACTGCCAACAACCTTTTCCAACTCTTCATTGGTTGAGAGGGTGTAGGAATCATATCCTTCCTTCTAATCAGCTGATGACATGCTGGAACGGACGCCAACACAGCAGCTATCCAAGCAGTCCTATACAACCGCATCAGCGACATTGGTCTTATCCTAGCTATAACATGATTCCTCCTACACTACAACTCATGAGACTTTCAACAAATACTGGCCCTAAACTCCAACCCAAACCTCCTTCCACTAATGGGCCTTCTTCTAGCAGCAATAGGAAAATCAGCTCAATTTGGCCTTCACCCCTGATTACCCTCTGCCATAGAAGGTCCAACCCCAGTCTCAGCTCTACTTCACTCCAGCACCATAGTTGTTGCCGGAGCATTCCTACTCATCCGTTTCCACCCTTTAATAGAAAACAACACATTAATCCAAAACCTCACACTATGTCTGGGAGCCACCACTACCCTGTTCATAGCCATCTGCGCCCTCACACAAAACGATATCAAAAAAATCGTGGCCTTCTCCACCTCAAGCCAACTAGGCCTGATAATAGTCACTATTGGCATTAACCAACCACACTTAGCGTTCCTACACATCTGCACCCATGCCTTCTTCAAAGCTATACTCTTTATTTGCTCCAGATCTGTTATTCATAACTTAAATAGCGAACAAGACATCCGAAAAATAGGAGGTCTATTTAAAACAATACCCCTCACCTCAACTTCCCTAGTTACTGGTAACCTAGCACTCACAGGAATGCCCTTCCTCACAGGCTTCTACTCCAAAGATCTCATTATCGAAGCCACAAATACGTCATATACCAACGCCTGAGCCCTATCTATTACTCTCATCGCCACCTCCTTAACAAGCGCCTACAGTACTCGAACCATTCTTCTTACCCTAACAGGACAACCCCGCTTCCCAACCCTAACAAATATCAATGAAAACAACCCCGCCCTGCTAAACCCAATTAAACGCCTCACAATAGCCAGTATAATTACAGGATTCCTTATCACCAACAATATTCCCCCTACCTCACTTCCCCAACCAACAATACCGTTCTATCTAAAACTCTCAGCCCTATGCGCAACCACCCTAGGCTTCCTAACAGCCCTAGACCTCGCCCTTATAGCCAACAAACTAAAAGTAAAAAATCCATCACAAATATTCAAATTCTCCAACATATTAGGATATTTTCCCATCACTGCCCATCGTATGGCCTCCTATCAAAATCTACTTATAAGTCAAAATTTAGCCCTTCTCTTATTAGACTCAACATGACTAGAAAAATCTATGCCCAAAATAATCTCACAAACACATATTACTGCTTCCACAGCTGTAACCACCCAGAAAGGCATAATCAAACTCTACTTCCTCTCTTTCCTCATTCCTCTTGCCCTAACCCTACTTTTAATAATATAGCCTATTACCCCAGGTAATCTCAATCATAATATATACACCAACAAACAATGTCCAACCAGCAACCACCACTAATCAACGTCCATAATCATACAAGGCACCCACACCAACAGAATCACCTCGAATTAACCCCGATCCCTCCTCCTCAAAAATCACCCAACTACCCATATTATTAAAACTAACCACCACCACTACTTCATCAAAACCTGAAACCCATAAAACCAACCCCACTTCCATTATTAATCCCACCAAAAGACTCCCTAGAACCTCAAACCCTGAGCCCCATGTCTCAGGATACTCTTCAATAGCCATTGCCGCAGTATAACCAAAAACAACTATTATACCCCCCAGATAAATTAAAAATATCATTAAACCTATGTAAGCCCCCCCATAATTTAAAATAATTACACAACCAATTACACCACTAATAATCAACGCTAAACCCCCATAAATGGGAGAGGGCTTAGAAGAAAAACCCACAAACCCCATAACCAATAATACACTTAATGTGAACAGAATATATGTCATTGCTTCCATATGGACTTTAACCATAACCAATGATACGAAAAACCACCGTTGTATTTCAACTACAAAAGCGCCAAATGACCCCAATACGCAAATCCAACCCTATCATAAAAATAATCAACCACTCCCTCATTGATCTACCTACCCCATCCAACATTTCCATGTGATGAAATTTCGGCTCACTTCTTGCAACTTGCCTAATTCTACAAATTATCACAGGCCTATTCTTAGCAATACACTACTCACCAGACACCTCCTCTGCTTTCTCCTCAATCGCACATATCACCCGAGATGTAAATTACGGCTGAACCATCCGCTATCTCCACGCTAATGGCGCCTCCATACTCTTCATCTGCCTCTTCCTACACGTAGGCCGAGGCCTCTATTATGGCTCATACCTTCTCCTAGAAACCTGAAACATTGGCATTATACTTCTACTCATAACTATAGCAACAGCCTTCATGGGCTACGTACTCCCATGAGGCCAAATATCATTCTGGGGAGCAACAGTAATCACAAACCTACTTTCAGCAGTACCATACATCGGAACCAACCTTGTTCAATGAGTCTGAGGTGGGTACGCCATTGACAACCCTACTCTGATACGATTCTCCACCCTACACTTCATCCTACCATTCATCATCGTCGCTCTCACAACCGTACATTTACTATTCCTACACGAAACAGGGTCGAATAACCCCTGTGGAATCTCCTCTGACTCAGACAAAATCACCTTTCACCCCTACTACACAATTAAAGATATTCTAGGCCTAGTCCTCCTCCTCTTTACCCTAACAATACTAACATTATTTTCACCCGACCTCCTAAGCGACCCAGTTAACTATACCCCAGCCAACCCACTAAACACCCCTCCACATATTAAACCAGAATGATACTTCCTATTCGCATACACAATTCTACGATCTATCCCCAACAAGTTGGGAGGCGTACTAGCACTTTTCCTATCAATTCTCATTCTAGCAATTATCCCCATACTCCACAAATCTAAACAACAAAGCATAATATTCCGCCCACTCAGCCAATTCCTATTCTGATTCATAATCACAATTCTACTAACCCTTACCTGAGTTGGAAGCCAACCAGTAATACAACCTTTCATCATTATTGGCC